TGTGACGTGGAATTCCTTAAAATAAAGTAAAATTTAAAAGCGTTATCGGTGGTTTTGTAAAATTACGTTAAAAAAGGAATCAAAAGTCACAGGAAATCACAGCGACAGATTTTTCGTCCCTGCTTATTTGATAAAATTACAGGATCAAAGTTGTCTATTTTTCGCGTTGCCTCACGGATTGAAAAGTTCAAACATTTTCTTCATTGCAGTAAATAAAATGATACATTGTAAACCATTTATTGCTTGAACCCACCATTCGAGGATTCCACACAAGATTTCTTAGCTACATAGTAAATATTGGCGTATAGATATTTGTAAGACTACATAACTTTATTTCGGCCGTAATATTACGTGGCGAAATTAATATTGCCTGTATTTAAAAATTTAACTACCTAATCAAAACGGGGCTTTTGAAAACTCGAAGTGTTCACAAATTGCCCCACCAAAGCGTAGCCTCAATGTTTAGACTAAAAATAAAATAAACGCTGTGTAGGTGTATATTCCAAAACATCCTTGAACTTAGCAATAATCTTTACCTATCGCACTATGATCGCTTGTAGGACTGTATAACTGTATAACCTGATTACGTTCCTATATAATTTTTACGTCGGTTTTAATTTTATATTGAAAAATCATTTTTCATATATTTATTTATTTTGTCGGCCGCTTGCGTCGAGGCAAGCGGAGATACGCCACATGCATTTGTATGAAATGTTTAAAATAAATAGAAAATGGTTTAGTATTTAAAAATATGTAATTCGGCATTTGCCGGCGTCTGGTGCCGAGATAAATATTGTTAAAATAATTATGAGAAGGGTTATTTGAATAACTTAAAATTGTTATTGAAACAATGAAATAATCGTAGTGTTTTTCGGTCACAATGTAAAACTAATAATAATGCTTCATGCGATCATTTCTCAAACAAATAATTCAACAAATTATAAGATAGTTTATTCGGCACCATGCGTCGATGTTTTTATATAATATGTGTATGTAATTTAGGTTAGTCTCCTCTTACTATTTACTATTATAATATAGAATATTTTGAAATTGCCATCTGACAATTTTATTAGATTTGTTTTGTATTCAATACATTTGGATTCTGATCTTAATAGAAGTTTCTTTTATTTAGATTTACACCAATACAGTATGTGTAAGAAACTCGTCATTCCACCCTTAATAAGTGACGTCATTCTAAAAACGGAAGCCAAAATAGGCAAAATGTATTAAAACAAGCATTCAGTGCATGCAAAAAGTCAGGAACGCATAATTTCAATTGCAATGCAGCAAAATATCTTGTTAAAATGTTCATCTTTGAGTCCAGATTTCCTTTGAATCATAAATAAAAGACAATATTTAGCTTGCTATATACAATTTTACTGTCAAAACAAATCAAAATAGTCAAAAAGCACTTTATACAAATGAGAGGTAGAGATCATATCTCCTAAAAGTAACATTAAATAATATTTTCAATATCTACATGCATTAATTGATTAGTAAAATATAAAACATACTTATAACTAGATTCCTTACTTAAAGTAAATGCGAGATTTTTGTTTAGATTGCACTAGAATTCACAAAACTAACAAGACTAAATTGTTTACACAATAAGTACAAAATACAAAAGTTGAGCGTTTTGCAATGTAATGAAGTGAAAAATGTGGAAGAAGGACAATTCGAGAAATATTATCTGGGTAAGTACCTGCATTTTTATGTTGTTTTCAGTCTCATTTTTATGTAGATACTTAAATTACTTAGTACTAGGTAATATGCATGATCCAAGAAAGTTATAGTAAGTTTATGTTCCGTTTTTTAATGTGTTGTCCGGATTTACAGAGTCAATCATTATCATAACATTTATGTACAAACTAACTGACTGGAAAATTACTGTTTTGAGAAGACAGTGAATACATCTTAATTTGATCGCAGTTTTCTTGAATTCGACAGACTATTAAAAACATAGAACATAACCATACTAAAACCCTGAAAAACTCGAGTTGATTCCATACAGATTATTAACACATAACAAATTAGGTTCTCTATCCATTTGCATAATTTTTTTGTCATAATGTGTTTTGGCACAATGTAATTTAAACTAGTGATACTTACGCATAATATATATAAGCATAAAACTCAAGTCATAATTTACTAACGCATAACAGTCACTAGCATAATCGTTTTTAGGCATAAAATACTGAACCATAAATTAAAATAAGCATAATAACATTAACGCATAATTAAAATAGGCATAAACATCCTACGCACAATATGAACTCCTAAAATATTTAAAACAACATCAATCAACATCAAACATTGTTTTTTCGATTGTGAAATAATTTACTATTTTCCTTTAAAATAAAGAGGCGGCTTAAGGGTGGTCCAAGGGCCACCCCCGCCGCACCTTAACCTATTTTGAGTTTTTAACTTTATAGCTTGATTCCAGTTAGTATTGGTTGAAATATATAATAAGAAATATACAGACAAACATGACCGCTTGGAAAAAATTATCAACCAAAAAAATGATTATCCATCGAAGCTTGCGTTATTACAAGCCATTGCTACCAATTTACACTTAAAATAGAATAAAAATATAAAATTTAATTACTTTTTGCATGAAAAGTAAGGTAAAATTGTATATAAAAGATAATAAATAAGAGCAAAATAAAATGCATGAAAATGAATTAAAAATCTAAGTATATAAAATTACTAACCTGAATTTCATTTTAAGCCATTTAAATTTTTGTGTCAAAATACTTTTAGTATAAAAAACAGTATGCCAAAAAACATTATGCATAAAAATAGTTAGGCTTGAATAAAATAGTCTAATGTATGATTATGCCAAGGTAAATACTATGCCTTAATAATATTATGCCAAAGTAATGAAAGGGGAAAAAAAAATATGCCAAACATGTTATGCTAAAACATATTAGGGGAAAGAAAATTATGCCAACGGAAGGGATACCAACAAATTATCCAGTGCCAACAGTCTGCACTGCAGTAGACGTACTATTCGGGGTGGCCACACTAAAAGAAGTAATAAACACGTTTACAATAGTGATGAGAAACACGCCTAGGACCGTCATGTTGTTGATCTTGTCAGCTTTACAGATGTCCTTCTCGTCTTTCACGTTGTAGCGACTGTTCATGATGAGACCCACACCCACGGCGATCTGGAGACAAAGAAATTGCAAAATTTTACGAGTGTCTTGTCAATTTTCCTATCCCACAGACCCATGAGAGGATAATTTACTGATAAAGTTGAAACGCCCCGTCCTAAGTAGTTTGGTTGTTTTTTTTTCAGCATCTTTCGATTTCGTAATATGCATGATGTATTTTATAGGTGGAGAAAAGAAATGGTCCAAAGATTGATCCTTGTTGTACCTACCTACAAATTTCTCTGCTTCGCGCTTTTTGAATACATTCCTACTTCGGCCATGGATAGAGTCTGGCCAGCGAGTCTTTGGACACGGAAATGGCGCCAATTTTAAAAATCTTTCACATGTTAACACTGAAAAACTACAATAAAACAATTTTGATACTTACTATTTTTTTGTTTTCTGCTCTTCAGTTTGTGTTTACCTTGCCTATCGGTATGTATGAAATATTTGGGCCTCCCATACAAATCGCAGATCAGCTGATTGATTTACTCTGAGAGGTCCAAATTTTTTTTCATATTTCGTCCCATGTTCCATGGGGAAATTTGTTCAGTTTCATGAGTACCTTGACCTCCTTTCGGCTTGTTATACCCTTTCTGTTACTCCCGGTAGATACATCATACATACATACCGGTAGGCAAGGTAAACACAAAATAAAGAGCAGAAAACAAAAAAATAGTAAGTATCAAAATTGTTTTATTGTAGTTTTTCAGTGTTAACATGTTGCCATTTGAAATATTTGAATTATTTGACGTCCAAAGACTCGCTAGCCAGACTCTAAACCCCACTTCTACCCATCTAAGTATGAAAATACTAGATAACTTTCAAAAATTTCAATTTAAATTTATTTATTACTAAATATCACAATTCACAATGTCTACAGGTAAAGTCCCAAGGCGACAATGCATAAATTTAAATTGACTATTTATAATAATATCACATTAAATTACACTAAAATTACATTGTTGATGATAAAGTCAATCAAATGCCTATGACACTTCTAAAATAAATCTTACCTGCAGTATATACTGATAGAGATGAACAGGCTTTCGCGGAGAGGAGCGCCAATATCTTTATCAGGTTGTTCGTCGTCTCAATGTCCCATACCAAAATAAGCACTAGAATTCTTGTGTTTTTCTTACCTGCAATATTATACTGAGAGAGATGAATACCAAGCTAGGGTAGAAGTAAGGATGGCTCATAGATGATTCCAACACGTAGCGGAGTTGGTTGGCGTTTGCGGAGAGGAGCGCCAAGTCCATCATGCCTTGCGCTAAGTTCTTCTTCTGCTGGTAGGTGTTGACGTCCGGGATTGACTGGAAATGTAAGTATTTTTTTAGTTAAGTGTCTAAACGTAAGTTTGTGTAATTCTTAACTCTTTATTATGCTTTTCATAATTCTATGACCTTTATGAATATTTATAAAACATATTCGAAACGACTCGTTGTATTTTCAAAATAGTACCTACATTCTTCTTATATTTTTTGATTGTTTTTTGCTAATAGGATAACTTTTAATCATTTACTCACTTACTACAAATTTACTTAGTTATTTACTGGCGTTGGTTTACTAAAAATATGGACGTTACAACATCAGTTAATCGTTCATCAACTCTGTGTCCCACACGACTGGACATACTGGTTGTTTCAAAGGAGGCTTACCCCAGGCATCATCGGTGAGATGGGCCGATCGTGGTCGAACCCATGGCCAAATCCATTCATGCCATCTGGAAAGAAAACCAAATAATATAGGTATGTATTAATTCATCCATCATTTATTTTAGGTATCGAACGAACGAAAACGAAGCATTATAATATTCGTAAAACGATTGATCATTGGCCAGACGTCTTGGTAGCTCAGTTGGCAGAGTAGTGGGATAGTACTCCACGGTCTCGGGTTCAAGTTCCGGCCGACACTATCAAATTTTCTTATTGTCTTTTTATGGAAATAATACCTTCGTTCGCAGTAATCCTATTGAGGTATAGCACTGTGAGTGCATTAAAATCCCAATACACTAGTCATTGTATTAGATTTTTCTGCACGGTTTAAAAAAGCCTTTAGGCACGTAAAGTCCACTTTCCCAAAATGACTAAAGTATTCTGTTTGAAAACAACTTTTCATAACTTTCAGGTTTCGTCCGGTTAAAGACTCGGGTGTCCCATACGATCGATTTAAAAGGCACTCTGTGCGTACGTACGATAGAAGAAGCTAATATATGAAATAATGTGCATGACATGCCCAGTGAAACATGCTTATTTAAGGTGTGGACGAGGTGAAAATTGTGTAAGATGTAGTGCAGTATTTTATACAATTTTTGGTGCAACCAGCAGGGAAAAAAGCGACAAAGCTTTTGAAATAAAAATGTTTGTGTCTCATGCATTTCCTTGTGCATGTTTCTAAATTTTAAGTAGAGCTTGTTATGTTGAATTGGGTTAAAAACTTGTTAAAAAAGTGTGTAGTGCTCTCTATTATTGTTATAGTTAACATGCACCCAGGAAATTGTATACACCATGATTTATACAAAAATTACATAAATACAAAAAATAATCTTGATTAAAAAATAAGTTAGTTGACATGCTGCTGCTACCGGGCACAACATATGTGCAAGTAAAAAAAATAGCAATCATTATGGTAGTAGGTAAGCATTTAGTTTTGGTCCTATTATATTCATTATCAGCCAAATCCCGGCAAATGTTCTACCATAACATATGATTTTGACAACCAATGTTTTAAAATGTAAAATTAAACGAATGCATCGGGCCCTAACACTAGCACGCAGGAAGATCTAAGTCAACGACTACCAAAGCGCTATCGGTTTAGCTTAAGCTATAAATCATGGTGTATAAGGGGTGTACTGACAGGTGTATGGTACAGGGTGTAGCAAGTCACCGTAAGGATAGTCCGGCTCGTCAGCGTCATGCTTCCACCATTTACCGTCTTCCGTCGTCGCATCGCCGTCGCCCTTGTGGTCACGGTGGATGTCCACGTCGTTGCCGTCGGGGTCTGGGAATTAATATTGGAAAATATTATTTTATGGTTCTGATACAGGGGAAATTACATTACAGAATTTATTCGGGGTTCAAGAGACTAAACAATTTCTCACAAGAAAATATTATTTTTAACTTCCCATACTAATTAATTTTCGTTCCAAAACATTTTCGGAATTTTGACACTAATCAAAACATCATTAATGAGGTATTTTTTATACCTACTTTGAAAATTTACAAAATTATTTCGCCTAATTAGCCCCCGTGAACTAGCCACAAAATTAACTAGGTCTTCTCGCTATCATTAACCTACAAAACCGCATCCTTTGCCAACTGATAAGCAGAGTCACCGCGAATTCTATTTTGTTGCTCCTCATATCACTGTGACCTCGTACTGACGTGGAAAATTATCAATGGACCTTTATTTAATCGCTTGTTGATACAAATAAGTACATTCATCAACTTTATTTATGTATTGGGATTTTATTACGTATATTTATTTATTTTATTACAAAGGGATCTTCATGTGCTTGTCCTTATCGCAATTAATTTTGAGCTAAGTATAGTATTTCTAAAATAAGTTGTTTACAACATTACTTGTATTGTATTAGTCCAGTTTGGTAAGCGAAGATGCTCACAAAGTATTATAAGAATAAATAAAATATTGCACTAAAATTATGATGCCAAAACGAAATACTTCGAATTCTAGGACATCTTTCCGTATTGATGGGCATTCATTTATTCCATGCGGGAGAGCGCGAGACAAAAGGAATCACTATAAAACTTACACTCATACGGGGTAGCCAGAGCGTAAACGGCTGTAAAAAGCGGCCATAAACACCACATCTGACGAAACTTTGAGAGCCATTCGGATGACTATCACAATAGTGACAGATTGTCAGCCTGTCGTCTAATATTGCAATAGACATCAACTCTCAAAACTAGTTAAATCTTACTTTTCAGAAAAGATCGTACCTAGTATTTAATTTTCTCAGCTTTTTCTCCCATAGAAAAGACATCAACGCTTAGCACGTTATGTCCCATTCGCAAAAAGTTCAATTCGAAAAAAGAAACATTTCGCAAAGTGACCTATTAATGTTGACTTTCAATTTATGAGAAGTCTCCTTCAAGTGCGAAACTCAGGGACCCAGAAAGATGGGCCGGGGTTCTTCTCAGAGCGGACAGAATAGTAGGCAAGATCGCTTAAGTGAGAGTTCCCGGTTTTTCCCGAGTTTGGCCCCGCCTTGGAAACGAATCTTTAGGCTATTCTTTAGCTATTCCGAGCCGGGGCCTTGCTAGCATACTTACAAAAAAAAATGGCAGCCATTTCAAACTTTTTTTATTGGCCAAAATTTTGTTATTTTGTAATAACTCAAAACTGGTAAGTGCTATAAATGAACATTGTATAGAAGAAATGTTACGCGTAAATTTCTGCACAACCTTGCTCTAATAACTTTTTTGATAATCTAATAGTTTGCGAAAAAAACGCTTTAATACATGGCAGTTTTTTCTAAAAACTCACCAAATCTAAAATATGAATTAAGTAGTGAAGTTGGGGATTAAGAATTACTTACTGTGTGGGTAGACCTTGCTACGGTATCCTGACTGATACTTAGTAACAAGTTTTCTGCCCAGAGGTTTTACCCGCTAATATATTTTCAAGTAAACAAGCAATTTTTTTGCCAATTTACACCCTGAGTTTTACCACCTTATGAGATGATTTTCTTAAATTCCTTTCCTGGTGTTAATTCACCCAACCAAAATAACCTCTGCGCAAAATTTCAAGAACCTAGGTCCAGTGGTATTGCCTGTGCATAGATATACAATTTGTAAAAAAAACATTAAGTTTGTTCGTAGTTGCCACATTTTTATTTTTTTGCAATCCCTTGAGGCTGTTCTTTAATAGTTCTGACCCAAGGATAGCAAAAAAGAACAAAATGTGGCAACAACGAACAAACTCTACTTTTTTCATACAAATTGTATACCACGCACAGGCAATACTACTGGACCTAGGACCCTGAAATTTTGCACAGAGGTTATTTGAATAATCTTAATTAATATCAAGAAAGGATTCCAAAAAATTCATCACCTAAGGTGGTAAAACAGAGGACGAAAATTTGTATAAAATTAACTTGTTTACTTCAAAATATATCAGCCGGTAAAACCGCTGGGCGGAAAGCTTGTTACTAAATATCAGGCAGGATATTGTAGCATGGTCTACCCACACAGCGAGTGACTCTTAATCCCCAACTTCACTACTTACTTTATACTTTCTAATTTGTGAGTCAGCAAAAACTGCCATGTTGTGCTACGTTTTTCTCGCAAACTATTGGATTATGAAAAAGTTATTGATAACATTCATATGCAGAAATTTACGCTTAACATATCTTCCATACAATAGTTATTTGTAGCTCTTACCATTTTTGAATTATTACAAAATAACAAAATTTTGCCCAGTGAAAAAATTTTGAAACGGTTGCCATTTTTTTTTTGTAAGTAGGCCAGCAAAGAACCGGTTCGGCATAGGTAAAGAATAGCCTAAAGATTAGTTTCCAAAGCGGAACCGACCTGGAACACGCACGGGAACTCCCAAAATTTTTTTGTATAGAAATTCTAACCTACTAGAACGAATAACAACCCCCAAAATAAAACATCAACCATCTCAGTTCATTCCGTCAAGACACTTTAGACTCCCTGATGATCGTTCACAAGATCGATATAGGTGGAGAAATGAAATCAAGATATATGTGACATTCTGCGATGAGTTTACGTTTTGCGAGTCGTACATTATGCGACTAAAGGTTTCCAGATCCATAATTATCTACCTTTGCCATGGTGGTCGTGACCGTTGGGTTTCTTCTCATCTGGTTCCAGCAGTCCATCGTCGATTCCGGGGTATGGGGCAGCGTCTGTAGGTTTCTCGTCCCCGTCCAGGTCGTCAACTTCTGGACCTGGAATTTTGAAGCAGTTAGCAGGTAAGAAAATCAGGTACGTAAACAAAAGTATAACCGAGAAGTACCAAGCAGTATGAAGATTTCTTGTAACTTAGACATATTTTAGGAATCTATTTCCATTTTGAACAATCAATAACTGCATTCAACTTGTCAAGAAGTCAACATTTTAAAACTCTTCATCTTGGAGTTAAATCGTTAAGCCCCAAAAGATTTTTACCTATGAAAACTTTTAGAGAAGTCAACATTTTGAAAATTCTTCATCTTGGAGTTCAATTGTTTGGCCCTAAAGGATTTTTACATACGAAAGACATCAACGCGTGATATTTCGGAGGCAAATTGTAGTAAGTATTAATTAATACCTATATTGAAAGCCGTGTTGTGTCGGCTTACAATAACATCACCCCCCATATCTTTCCCGTGGGTGTCGTAAGAAGCGACTAAGAGAGGTCACTGGTGATACACAGTCTTCTGAATGACTTTCAAAAGTTTTTCAGACGTGTTATAAATGTCCGTTCTTTACCGCCATTTACGCTTTGTCTACACCGAATAAATGTAAGTATGTATCTTTCTTTTTGAAACTTCTTACCTGCTAAAGGAGGTTTCGGTCTGTCTCTATCCGGTTCCAGCAGAGGCTGCGTTGGGGTGGTTGGCACTGACTCCACTTCGGTATCGGGGTGTGGTCTGTCCTGGCTCTGAAATAAGATAAATAGGAAGCATGTTATGATATGGACACCAGGAACTATCAAATAAACAAACAACTTTGTGAGGGAAGATGGGCCATTATTCTTTATTTTTTGCGCACTCAAATTAAACTCAAGCTGAAACTAATCCTCTGGTCTTACTGAAATGTCAGGATATTGTAAGATGAAGCATCCATAACTGTAGGTGGCAGAATCGTTACACATCCACTAAAATATCAGAAGCCTACTATACCGGTTGAAGAACTGACACCATGTTTCATGTCGTATCGTATCGA